TTGTTGGGATCACCAGTGTTTGGTGTACTTGTTGATGAGTGAGTTGGGTTTTACTCTGCTTTTAGCAATAATCCAGCAATATCACGGCGGGGAATACCAGAAATGGGTTTCACACATTTCGCCAGGGATTTACAAGACACGAATTCCTGCATCCTATACGTATAAAAATTGACAATGGAATATTTATAACAAAATTTATTCAGCGCGTCCACAGGGACAATCAAGTGACAATAAGTTATCACTCACTACTAGCTGGGTTATAGTATTATTTGCCATTTAATTACTGTAACAATGTGATGATCATGATACACAATACAATAACAGTATTAATAATAATATTTAATACCCCATTTTTGTCCACGACCCCCATTTTTTGTCCAGGACCCCTGAAAATTAAGAGTATGAGTCTCAGGGACCCTCAAATACAGGACTCCATGTAAATCCCTGTTGTACCCATGTTGGGAAACAAACCTGATCTTTAGTGTGACGAGCAAACGCTTTAACCACAAGGCTACCCCACCGCCCCAACTCAATTGATGAAACATATTGTGATATTGCTCTGATGATTCTGTGACAGGATGCACACTGATAAGCTCATCTGACATTGTCCTCAATGCATGGTTACTTCAGGTCTTTCTCCCAAAATGACCAAACCTCCATGGCAGGCTGAAATGTTTTCAAGTGAGATCGGACAACACACTGTCCATTATTGTGTGAGTCTGTTGTATTACTTGACCAATACTCCACAGCCTTGTGAATCAACACCCCCTGATGGACACAGATCAGAAATATGTTAGCACTGAGGATTATATTAAACTCCTGGAGGGATATGGCTTTTGTTTTAGCATAATCAACATTGTTAAAGGAGGCCATGACAAATATAGGTGACCAAGTAAAACACCTTGTCATACATCTAGTATGACCACTGGGGGGCTGAGTGAAAGTGGTCGTGATGGTGGAGCATCCTGACTATGTGTGGCCTGTAGCCAATATACAGTGTGGCTGCAAGCAGGATGCTGTAGCAGGTGGGTCTGGACATAGGTTCGCCTCGCACCAACACACTCCATTGTCTGGCTGCTACTGGAATGTAGTCCACACTTGCAATTGTATTCACCCACATGATACACATTCCCTGTTGTCCCTGCTCCTTACATAGGCATCTCCAGAATGATAAGTGGAAGTATTTGTGGCCAGTGACAGAATGATTGAAAAGGGAAAAGAAGTTTCAGATTTATGGAATTAATTTCTAGTTTTGGATTGGTTTAGTGTTCCTGAGGAGGGTTCCATGTTTGAAAGAGGGCATTTGAGAGTAAAATGATGCCTTCATGTTGATTTGAAGTCATTCTTGGTAACAAATCAATTGAAAGTGTTGGTCCTTGTATCTTTTTTTTAATACAAGGATCATATTGATGCATTCTAAGTTACCTGAGTTTGCTTGAGGCTCTAACAGTTATCAGTGCTGTTATCACAGCTACCACGGGAATGTACCATAGGTACATATATTGTTGAGAAGAATATAGATAACCTGGATTTCAATGTAATTCTTTGGATCACCTCAGAAAACATTTACTATGACAAACTCAAATGATTGTCAGTGGTGTTACCTAAACCATTTATTAACGGCAGTCTTTTGAATATTTGTAAAAAAAATTCTGTGGTTTACGTTTGAGGTTATGGAATATTGTATTCTTTTTTGGGTCCTCAGATTTAAAATTTAGCCGTTTAGTGTTTTCAGTTCTTTGATTTGTGAAATTTCGTCTGATGCAAGGGATTTTTCTTTTATAATTTGATGTAGTTTACAGTAGAAACTATGAAAGTTTATGCTCTTTTGTCTTCCATTTGTTAAAATACAGGCCATGCAAAATCCCTGATGCAGGTGACAATTCCTACACCCTGTGATCTCTGGAGATTGACACTGTACTCAATCAGTCTACCTACTCGTGGGTATTTGATAGGCTGTATGTCTCCCCTGCAGGGGGTAGGTGTGTTTGATGTTGCTGCAAGCCATGATGGCGAGGTGACAGCGTGTACGCTCTCTGATTGATTAACACAGTTTTCATCACTGCAGACCATTTTAAAGCTGGTCAGTTCAGGTAGCAGCTGACCATCTTACTGTTTCCCACATTTCATTGTTGAATAGTATTAACTTTGTATAGGCGTTTCCTTACCTTGTATAGCTATAAGTATATCACTTACCGTTGACTAAATATATATTTTTAAGGCTACACAATGCCGTTTTAGGAGAAGATAAGTAAGTGCAAGTTCTTCACGGATTTGATTCATTGTTAATTTATAGCTTGTAATGTGAGAGGGGGCAGTGAGGTAGCCTAGTGGTCGCTCGTCACGCCGAAGACCCGGGTTTGATTCCTGACATGAGTACAATGTGTGAAGTCCATTTCTGGTGTCCCCTTCTGTGAATTGCTGGAATATTGCTAATAGCACTGTAAAACTAGACTCACTTGCTCATTGTAATATGAGGTGAGGTGAAATTAGGTTTTACGTCGTGCTTGAGAATATTTCGCTCATATGACGACGTGCATGCATGTGTATGTGTATGTGGGTCTGCTTGTACTAGCCCAGACTTAAGCTGGTTTTATAGTGCTAGCCCACTGAGATACCATGCCGCAGTGAAGCATGAATACCCCACTCAGACACATTATACTGACTCCGAGCCAACCAGTCCTTGTTGTACCCATTAATGCCGAACGCCAGGCAGGGAGCAACAAGTACCATATTTTAACGACTTTTGGTATGACGCGGTCAGGGATCGAACCCGCTGCTCTCCGGGCGGATGCTCTAACCACTACACCACGGAGGTGGTCAGTACAGTCAATGAAATAATGCGTAGGGAACACTGAAGTTGACGAAATGTTTCACCTTTAACAGCATCATGCAAGTATTTGTCATGAATACCCCACTCAGACACATTATACTGACTCCGAGCCAACCAGTCCTTGTACCCATTAATGCCGAGCGCCAGACAGGGACCAACAAGTACCATATTTTAACGTCTTTTGGTATGACGCGGTCGGGGATCGAACCCGCGACCTTCCACTCTCCGTGCAGACGCTCTAACCACTACACCATGGAGGCGGTCCATTGTAATGTGAGAGTATGAAAAGCCAGTTTAAACTTATTGCTGTTGTAAACAGACCAGGAAGACTCCATGTTGAATTTTAGTCAGCGCCAAATTAAGCCAGAAAACCCATTGGTCATGGTCATAACTTGTAAGTTGATAATGCATTCTGTTTTAAGATTTTCCAAGATGTCCCTAGACTAACATTTCATCCCAGATGGCAACCTTATATCCCAGTGTAGTCCAGGAATTGCTTTCTTTCTGGAGCTAAGGGAATCCAGACTTGCCAGATTCTTCTCAACTTGGATTAAATTTTAATTATGCCATTGTGAACTACCCTGTTGGGATGAGGCTTTAGCCTGGTTGATGAGTGGTCATGCTCTGAGGTTGTGCTGTGGGAGTTGCGATGTTTCCTGGTACATAATCTGTGATGGCTGCTAGTCTAGTAAATCTCTGTTCATTGTAACAAGTTCAGCTGATAATGCTTCACAAAATGCCACTAAATTTTACTAAAAATAATGCTAAGTTTGGACAAGCAGTGTCAAAAAGTTTTGGCACGGACTGTTGATATGATCGCTTTGTTAAAAGGAGCCATGCTTCAGTGAAACATTTAATTCAATGGAGCACTTCCTGGTTCTGTATGTCGGTCCCGTTCTACTGACTCCTAGGTCAGTACACGCCAGATATTGACTCGTTTCAAAAATTACTCATTCCCTAAATTTCAAAACTAAAACTGAAATAAATTTGACATGGGATTTTCTGTTAACAATCTAATGACAGATGTGTTAACCAATGACGTCTTGACCAGCTGGTCTAGCTGATAATTTACTGACAAGTGTTTATGGAAGAGCCTGTCTCTTCTCAGTCTGAATGTGAAGGGTACACGAGTAACTTGTATATTGTTGTGGCAGTGTAGCCCACTCCCATGAAGCATTCACTTCAACATCTGATACTGCTTCTTGAAGGCATTATCAACAAACAAGCAGAAAGTCCTATGTATCATTTTACCATCAATTAATTAATGTGTGAAACTTGTGTTATGATACCCTTCATGTGATGAATTATGCATGATATATTTCACTATTTTTAAATTTAGGAACATTATCGAATCCTCATCAAAATTGTTTAAAGCAGCCTTGAGTCAGCTCCAAATTGAGAACACTTGAAACTATTTATACCATTACAGGATACTTCATTGTACCAGATAACATGTATTGAACAAAAGTTGTAGGAGATCATTAATATTTTTAGGCAGATTTTGTTGTTGTTAAGATTGAGCACACATCCTCTAAAAAAATATCCTCAAAATCAGACTTTTTGTTATTGTTCCATGTATTCATATGTGACCTATACTACCCATCAAAAGTTTAGACTCACTTAAAGCACTCACTATATGTTATGTATATGTATGTGGTTACATCGAAGATGAATTTCTCCACCAACTTGGGGGAACCAACTGAAAACCTTATGCAGATGAATTGCACAAGGATGATGCTTCAAATTGCGAAAGGCATGAGCAAATGTCGTGCATGTGAACAGATGCGTTTAGGTGTAAAGTTTTGTTAAGAATTCGCCAATTTTCACAGATTTTAATCATTTACTGAACTCATGACAATAATCTTTTCAATGTTACGAATATGTTTTACAATACACCAGTTCATAACTAAACAGTACCTTTAAACAGTATGGAATATTTTGCAAAAAGCTAGTTTAGAACAGTGGACAAGTAAGTGGCTACATTTACACTAGTGAGTCTAAACTTTTGATGGGTAGTATATATCGATACAAGACGTACTGACACTTTAAACTTGTCACAGAATGCTCGTGTGACGTTCAAGTGTCTGTCTCCTTATGTTCTGCTATAGTGTAGTCAGTCTCAGTTCCTCTGGAACCACATGGTTCATTTTTTGCTTATTTGTTTCAGAAAACTAGTGAAGAGTTATCAACCACGGAAGAAAGAAGAAGATGATTATGTGTAAGTATGACCTGTGTGGAATAATATTTTGTAATATAACGCAACACTCAGCATGTTACAACTATGTGATGGCTGTCCAACTATAATCTGGACCAGATAACCCAGGGGTTGACAGCATGAGCACTGATCAATGCAATGAGGATATGATGACCCACATCAACTAAGTTTGCAAGTCTGACCACCAGATGTAGGTTGTCAGGCATGAATGAAGATCTTGCTGAAGATCAAATCTACTCTACAAAACTCTACAAACTCGTTTGATAGTCAATCTTGATTCAACTTTCAAAATAAGTGAAAATGGAAAATTCTGCGGGTATTCTGCATGAAAATGTGTTTTTCTGCATCAAAAGGTAATTTCTGCAATTTATTCTGCAACCACGGAATCGTGGAATCCAGGAGGAACTGTTGTTATGTGGCTGAAATATTGCTGTTGGGACATTAAACTGTAACTCACTCACTCTAATAACAGGGTCATTTACTCCAGATGATCAGAACAAGACATTTTGCATTTTTAAAATTTTATTATTATCAAGTTGGAATGGTAGTGATTGACTAAAAAGCTTTAAAACTTTGTTGAGAAACAAACCCATTTAACTATACATTTGTCAACTGCTTTGAAAATCAGAAATAATTGGTTTTAACAAGAAAGATTTTTCAGTTGTTAGGAAGATAGTGTGGAAAATCAACTGCCATGTCAAGATGACCTTTAAGATCAAATAATACACTGAAACAGTCAAGGGATTTCTTTGTTGTATCTAAAGGTTTCTGTCACCTATATTCCTTTGAAGAATTCATTATGACTTTCAAGTTGAATGTCACTTCACAAGGGACCAATCTAATGGAATCAGTAGACTTCTTCCAGAGGGAAACTAAGCCAGTATCCTTGGCAGATTTATGGCCCAAAACACTGCAGTTTTATCGATGGTCTCGTCTGTTCCAATGTATTGATCACAAGTTCAACAATTAGCTGAGTCAATCGGATGGCAGGAACAACACCATTTTCAACCTGATTGGGTTGCTTTATTAAAGATTAGACATTTTATAGACAGTGCCAATAACATGACAGATTTCCGTGGTCATGCAGAAAAGTGGTGGTCGGTGCTTTGAGATATGGGCCTTGAGTCTGAGCATTTCGTATCGACCACATGTAATGGTGACATAATACTACAAGGTAACAAAGCTGCGAGATATTGACACAACGTATTATACAATCTGTTACCAAGCCTTAATTTGAAATCCATGTCAGATCACATCAGTAAGATTGGAAAGTGTTATGTACAAGGATAGTTCAGTGTGAGGGACCACACAAAATGCCAAGGGATGTTCGGATGATAGGAAATCTTTGTCTGACACAGTGATATAACTAAAATTCTTTTTTTACTTAACACAGTTGACTTGCTTATACTGTTTTAGATCATTTAAAGACAGTTCCATAGAGACATTGATAAACAAGCTGTTCAAACTTCAATAGGTCTCATTAGGTGTCATAGAAATTACTGGTATTTATTCCTTTTACCCTTCTGTTTTCCATAGCGAAAATGTAATACCAAAAGGACCATTTGGAATCATTCTGTAAATATTTATCCATATTGTTGGAGCAGGGTGCTAAATATGGCATATATTCAATGCCTTTGGGGTGTCAATTGACCATAAGAAAAGTATAGTATATTTAGTACACAATACACTAGGCTGTAACGATGCATCAAATTATCAATGGATTGTAATTGTTGAGTCTCCGATAGCAATTAATCGATGGTAGAAAAGAAAAACTATCGATGCATCGATAGTATGTGTGTGACTATTGATACAATTTAATGATTTACTTCCGTTGATAGATGCGCAGTGCAAAATTCAGGATGTTTAGGCTCAGACTTGCAGCTTCATTGAGTTTATGTTTTAACTGTTTACTTGATCTGGGTTTTAAGTTTCTTGTCAGTTATTAAAAGAGACTGAAACTACTTCGACTTTTTTTATTTCATATAATCTATACATTCATTTAGGAATTTAGGAATTCATTTATGACTTCAAATGAGACAATTCGAGGAGAGAAAAGCTATTGCAGTAATATCGCAATAGTATGTTGCAATAGACTTTCTCTATCACAATAGTTGTTTCCCCTTCAATAGTCACCCCTACAATACACACACCCCATGCTGCACATACTCGACACTGCACATACCCAACACACAGGGTAAGACAGTGCCAATAAATCCCTTAGTCTGAAAGTAGTAAAATTCCAGGGGACTCACTAAGTTGCTGCTACCAAAATTTAGCTAATTAACCTGTGTCATTAGAGCAGCAAGCTAGCTAGATTTCACTAGGGGTGAAACGGTATGCTGTTACAACAGTACGGTATGTATTGCAGTACAAGGCCTTCAATTCAGTCCATTTCAGTTCGGTAAATGAGATCTGATCATCAACCCTTACATTGTTTAATAACATGTGAAAAAAACCACCATAATCTTTGTTATTTTGAATGAACAAAAGTGTCATTTTTTTACTAGATAGAAATGACGGAAATACCGAATTTTCTTATTGCAAACGGTATACCGGACTGAAGGCAAAATACCGCGGTTCTACTATGCCGTTTCACACCTAGATTTGACCAATGGTGTCTCTACACTGGACACCAGACAACTGCCCTCTGCACATGGCAAAACCACACCCCACGCATCCCCTCTTCTCAGAGACAGAATTATTCTGTTTCCGAGTACTGGCGATGACACAACTAAATTAGCTGTTACAGCCTAATGGTATGGACGACAACAGATTGCCAGCAGATGGGTTGCTACTCATTCAGTATTGATATGTTTGCTTTATGGATTATTCAAACATAAAATTGGCACTTAACACCTCATGTTAGTGTGGCTCAGAGACTTGTTAACTGAGGCAGATCTTCTGATGTACAGTACATCTTGATGTATTGGTAGTACTTATTGTTAGATGTATGACAGAGAGTGTTAACTGAGGCAGATCTTCTGATGTACAGTACATCTTGATGTATTGGTAGTACTTATTGTTAGATGTATGACGTTCTATATTTATTATATACCCCCTTATCTTGCATTAATCTGTTACTTAATAAGTAGAACCGGCAGGGGTTCAATACGGAATTTGACCACGTCATCCATATTTCACCCCTGTATTACTATCCTAAGTTTACATGGGTATATAGTAAATGGCAGGGACTCATTCACTGATACAGGAAGTGTTATGATGTACATCTAGGTGTGTTAGTAACACAGGGGGTCAGGTGTCACTGTGTGGCCTACTGCTGATCACAGTAGGATAGACACAGTACCTCTCCCTCCCATCATGCAGTGAATCACTGAGTGCACTTGTCCTGTTCAATACCATGTAGAATGGAATCACAGGCATGGCCGGTCAGATAATGATACCTTGTAAAATTTGTGTATATGGTAGTGGCACCAAGCCAATGATTAGTCATGATAGCCGGTAAGAAGGTTATATGGCACATAAAAATGGTCTGACATATTGCTTTGCATAATCACTGGCTACACCAAGAATTAACATATGTTATATTGGGATTACACTTTCTTACTAAGTCACAGTGGCTGAGCGGGTTAGGCAGCTGACTGTGTGCTGGCGATTAGGTGCTTGACTCTGAGGGTGTGGGTTCGAATCCCGCATGGGATTCAACCCAACAAAAAGTACTAGAATCTGTACTTTTCTAAGAAAGTATAATCTCAAATATAACATATATTACATTTGACCACTTTCTAAAATGTCTTGTGTAATTACACCAAGAAGGATGTTTTTTTTCCTGTATCGGTTGCAAATTGGAAAAGCATCCTCTCATAAAGACTTTGAAATAGTATGTGCTGTCGTTACATGCAGTTGATATCAAATATGATTCTTAAATTGTTGTCATGTTCAAAGCAATGGATATCTGTTGGCAGTTGTTATCATCTCATTTATGACAATACACAGCGAGGGTTGTAGTGAAAATGTAGCTCCCATACAGAAGACCATTGATAACTGTACAGTTGTTTAGATATGCAGTTCAACTACATCAACTTTGTCATCCGAATGAACATACTAAACCTATTGTAAAGTTCAACTTTCCCACGTAGAGTACAGTTACACTAAGAAAGGGGCGTGTCACTGTGGTCATGGTCTTCTGGCCTGGAATTTGACACCATGGAGTGAGTGACCACAGGTGGCTTACCTGTGACAGCTACATACGCTGAGGATCAGCACGTACTCTTGCCTCATTATGTCACCTGTTGTGTGTACTTTTGAAGTTGGTAATGGGAGAAAATGTGAAACAGTTGATGGTGAACATTGTTAATATGAAAACATCTGTTGACCTTCTTACCCATTGGTCTCTGTCAACATATATGTTTAATATAAGGCCATTTTATTTCCTTGTTTGCAGACATGCCTTCCCACAGTTTCTCTCCTGCCTCTTATAATAATAATAGTGTATACTTATATCGACTTCACACACTTGGTGCATGCTCCAAGCAAACACATTGCTACCAAGCATTATATATTATTGTAAACCAAAAGTCACTGTGTTCTTTAATCTGATTGGTAGAAAAACGTGATCAAATGGTATTCGATTCCCGGGAATTCGCTGTGTATTGATACATACAAACATCGCTCACACCATTGTATTGTTACGTCGTCAGCTGTGATGACGTCATTAAAATCATATTGTGACGTAAAGTCCGAATGACGTCACAAATGAGCAGGTCCAGATGCTACCATGGGAGACAGCCGAAACGGCCGGCTGATGACATTTCACTGCTGTACCCGTACTCGATGTCAATGAGTGCAGTGCAATGAGTGAAGCACTCAATAACACCCGGAAATTGGTCAACACATGATGTTTATCTCCTAAATATTACCCAGGTCAAAGGATTATTCACTAAAAACAATTTATCATCACCCACAACTCAAGCTGCATGTCAGAACCTTAACAGTTACATTACTATCCCATCCTCCTGGGTACCCATTTACAGTGGGGCGAACTGAGGCTTGTCATACTGGCAATGGTGAGGCAGCCTACTGGTTAAAACAAGCGTGTGTTACACTGAAGGCATGGGTTTGATTCCCCTTCCAGGTACAATATGATACAATCTGTTATCCCCACTGTGATATAACTAGAACAATGCATTCATCATACTGACCAAAAACCTTATAAACAATAGATTCCCAGACCTTGTCTGGTATGTTTGAACAGCCAATAGGTGTATAACACCCATATCATGTCAGCTGCAGTCAACCAGAAACAGCTGACATGGGTTTGTGTGTAGAAGATGCCTCCTTCCTCCTCTGTGTTAGGCCAGATAGTCATCCTAGCTGTGTGCCTTCTACATTATTACCAACCTCCTGGCTATGATAAGAAACAGCTGGTGAACCTGGCCTTCGACTTCAGTGCATTTTCTACACCGGCAGTGTATGCAATCATAAACAGCAATGTAATCCTGTTTATCTAGTGTAGTAGGCTGGTGATTAGGCAATGCTGGGTTCTTTCTCCCTCTTTGTAGATTGTTTTCATATTGAATACAAGGGCTTTAGGTTTTAGGCTGTGATGGTTTAATCAGGCTAAGTGTACATGTCACAGAGGAGGTACCTGATAATTACAGGAACACGCAACGCCTTGAAACATTGGCCCAGTGGAGTGAGTGAGTGAGTATGGTTTTACGCCGCCTTTAGCAATATTCCAGCAATATCACGGCGGGGGACACCAGAAATGGGCTTCACACATTGTGCCCATGTGGGGATTCAAACCTGTGTCTTCAGCGTGACGAGCGGACGCTTTAACCACTAGGCTACCCCACCACCCCCTTGGCCCAGTGGAGGTGTTGGTATAGGTTTTCAGTATTTGTATGGTATTTGTTGTGTCATGTATTTGTTCTATACTTGCTAATCTTTAGATTGGGTGATCAGAATGGTTTTTAGATGTGACTCTTCTTCACAAGCTCAGTAATTATATCCTGAAGAGGTTTATTCCAATAACATTTCATCTTCCGATTTGGGTAGGGGATCTTAGGAACAAATCCAGTTTAAGAACTCGTCCCAAGCACAGCTTGTCAAGAGAGCTAACCCAGCTGGGACCATCAGCTGGGACCACTGGTTTCTCTAACCTTCCATTAGTGGCTTGCAGATGACCAGTCTAAGTAAGCTTAGGCTCAGTATTATTTCTTACACTGCTATACTGAGTCTAACAAACCCTAGTAGAAGGTCACGTCAGCTTACACCTTTTAAATTGACCAATCAGAACACAGCTTACAAATCATGAAAGTTGACATTTGCATATACTGTTTGAACTTTTACCTCAGAACATTTGTACTCAAACGATTCCGAATGCTATTTCCGCATGATCGATTCCAAGTGACACGCCATTTTGTAAGTCCTGCCCAACCCTAAATAGACGCCATTGTCTGATTTGTTGTATCTGTTTGGCCATCTCGCGTTTGATTGGACGCGACCTTCTACTAGGTTTTGTTAAACTCAGCATAGCAGTGTAACGAATAGTACTGAGCCCAAGTTTACTCAGACAGGCAGAAATTTAGTGGAAGCCGCTGTGGATGAGTTGTCTAGGCATCTGACTTTGTGTGCTGGCAATTAAGTGCCTGACTCTGAGGGTGTGGGTTCGAATCCCGGATGGGACTCAACCCGACAAAAGTACTAGAATCTGTACTTTACTAAGAAAGTGTAATCATTAAATATAAATCATTAAATGTTACATTTGACCACTTTAGTAGTCATGTCATGCTTAGCAATAACTGTGTCAAGTATACAGTGAAAACAATGATACAGTCTCATTTTTCATACCAAAGTTCATAATAATGCAGACCTGGTAATGGTCATGGTTATTGTTATCCCCCGCAACGCGTTTGTGGTAGTGTCTTTCCTTCGAGTCATGGGTATTAAAATGACCTGGCCCCATGCAGCAAGTTTGCGCATGCGGACAAGGCCCATTAAAATGGACTCGTGCGTCGTCGTAAAGTCCCTGCGTCGTCCGTATGCGTATTTGTCTTTTCCAGAGCAGAACTCTAAAAGCGTTCAATATTTCTTCACCAAACTTGGCACATACATTGATCTGGTGGTGTACTGGTGCCTTTTGGTAGTTTTGGAATTCTGAATAAAATATTTTTGGCATTTCCATGGCAACAAGTTTGACTTAGACTGAAATTGGTGGTAGTGCTCTTTTCCGGAGCAGAACTCTAAAACCGTTCACTATTTCTTCACCAAACTTGGCACATAGATTGGTCTGGTGGTGTACTGGTGCCTTTTGGTAGTTTTGGAATTCTGAATAAAATATTTTTGGCATTTCCATGGCAACAAGTTTGACATAGACTGAAATTGGTGATAGTGCTCCTTTCCGGAGCAGAACTTTAAAAACCTTTCAATGCTCTCCTTCCACTTTTCTATATACATACCTAAATATTAGACATAATCATAACTCGTAGACATAATCATGAAGAGTATTTTGCCATTGCGGGGGATATTGATGACTTTTTTCTTCTTGTTAATATTGGAGGAATTATGAAGACAATCCTTCTCTACTGACATCCCACCTGTGTAGATGTAGCCAGTATCAATAGCTGCCCCAGTGAGTTTATATCATTCCTACCTGGCTTTATCTATGGAACTCCACATGAACCACTCCGTCCCACCTATGTAAAGTTGTGTTGCCTGGCAACTGTCTGGAGGTGTTGGATGTTACCCCCTTGCTTACAGGTGGATTGCATCCCCTCTATATACCTGAGACTGAGAGCCAGATAGGGCCTCTGTCTTTATCTCATGCTGTACTGCTTTATCACTACAGCTCCAGTCTGTTCGGATGTAAAACTGTTTAGACATGTCATGCTGGATAGGGGAAACTTATCTTACTTGCAGGGAATGAAGACCTCAGCCATATACTAGTTGTTGGAAAACTGGTCTTACTTGACAGGGAATGAAGACCTCAGCCATATACTAGTTGGGGGAAAACTGGTCTTACTTGGCAGGGAATTAAGACCTCAGCCATATACTAGTTGGGGAAAAACTGGTCTTACTTGCGGGGAATGAAGACTTCAGCCATATGCTAGTTGGAGGGAAACTGGTCTTACTCGACAGGGAATGAAGACCTCAGCGAGATACTAGTTGTTGGAAAACTGGTCTTACTTGACAGGGAATGAAGACCTCAGCCATATACTAGTTGGGGGAAAACTGGTCTTACTTGGCAGGGAATTAAGACCTCAGCCATATGCTAGTTGGAGGGAAACTGGTCTTTCTCGACAGGGAATGAAGACCTCAGCGAGATACTAGTTGGGGGAAACATATCTTACTTGGCAGGGAATGAAGACTTCAGCCATTTCATGCTTGTTGGGGACTAACTGGTCTTACTTGGCAGGAATGAAGACTTCAGTCATATACTAGTTGGGGGAAAACTGGTCTTACTTGCCAGGGAATGAAGACCTCAGCCATATACTAGTTGGGGGGAAACTGGTCTTACCCGCCAGGGAATGAAGACCTCAGCCATATACTAATTGGGGGGAAACTGGTCTTACTCGGCAGGGAATGAAGACCTCAGCCATATACTAGTTGGGGGAAAACTGGTCTTACTTGGCAGGGAATGAAGACCTCAGCCATATACTAGTTGGGGGGAAACTGGTCTTACTTGCCAGGGAATGAAGACTTCAGCCATATGCTAGTTGGAGGGAAACTGGTCTTACTCGACAGGGAATGAAGACCTCAGCGAGATACTAGTTGGGGGAAACATATCTTACTTGGCAGGGAATGAAGACTTCAGCCATTTCATGCTTGTTGGGGACTAACTGGTCTTACTTGGCAGGAATGAAGACCTCAGCCATATACTAGTTGGGGGAAAACTGGTCTTACTTGCCAGGGAATGAAGACCTCAGCCATATACTAATTGGGGGCAAACTGATCTAACTTGGCAGGAAATGAAGACCAGCCATATACTAGTTGGGGGAAACATATCTTACTTGGCAAGAAATAAAGACTTCAGCCATATACTAGTCGGGGGAAACATATCTTACTTGGCAAGAAATGAAGACTTCAGCCATGTCATACTGGTTGGGGGCAAACTGGACTTACTTTAAAGGCAAGAAAGACATCTGTGCCATGCTGGTTGAGGGAAAACTAGTTATACTTATGGAGATTGAAGGCTTCAGCAATATCATGCATGTTATGATAAGAACTGGTCTATCTGTAAAAGTCTACCTTGTCATGCTGGTTGAGGGAAAACTGATTCTAATTATGAAGATAGAAGGCTTCAGACATGTCACACTAATTTTTTGGGGGGAGGCAAATTGTCCTATTTTCAGGTAAAGAAGACTTGAACTTTTTTGTCTTGGTTCGTGGGGAACTGTTCCAGATGTATACTATTTCATGCTGGTTGAGGAAATTAGTCCTACTTTACATATATAATAAGTAAGGTAATCAGAGCATATTTGACAACATGTAACTAATCCATGAGTTTGTGTTGCAGGTTTTCGTGGTCACGGGCGTTTGTGGACATGGTGAAGGAGCTGCACGACATCGCTGGGCAGCATGAGATGGTGGCCGAGAACCTACAGGGCACTGTCTTTAAAGACCTGCAAGGCCTCATCACAGAGCTCAGGCAGGAGAGGAAAAAGGTGACTACATGATTCAGTCTTAGGGGCTTTAGGGCAAGCCTAATGGTTAAAACATGGACTTGTTAATGCCGAAAACACCAGTTTGATCATGTGTGTTTCTGGATTTCTCCACCATGTTGTTGCTGTAAAACCCTACTCGCCCAGCCTTTCAAATGTTTCAGATTATTATTTTACAGCAAAGTTAGATATAATCCAAATTGAGAACTCCTTATGTCTGAACAAGACATTAAGCACCTTAAAACATATTCTTTACCCATTACACACATAAAAAGATGTCGTAATAGAAGTGTTTTGGATAAAGTATACAAAGACATTGGAATAGATTTGTCAAAGGTGAAGTTACCCATCGTTTAGCTCCTGCAGGTTGTTCATGGGTGTTTGTTTATCATTTCAGCATTTGCATGAAGGAACAAGGATTCAAGATGCACTTAAACAATCATACCAACAGTTAGATAAGGTGAGATATAGGATCTGTCTGAAGGGAGACCTGAACAAGGGGAGACAATTAGGGGTGCTTTAGGTGATACTGGGCAGGAGAGTTTGCTTTGTATCAGCTGATCAGTTATTATATTGCATGCAAATCTGACATAATTAAGCATTTCTTTGAAATTTTAATATATAGAGAATACTACACGAGGTCTCATTACATACGCATTATACGAAACTCGTGACCTTCCTATTCGCGAGGTCAGATACCATAGGAAGGTCACGAAGTTCAGATAATGCGTATGTAATGAGACCGAGTGTGGTATTTTATTTATTACCCACGCCTTACATGCATTAAATTGACAAAATAGCGTATTTTTGTTATTTTTATGGTTTCAAACCGAAACCGGGTTCATAAAGAGGTTGCGGAAGAGTTTGTGTAGTACAATATTTGCATGACGTCACACTGTAATGACGTCACTGCCTAGGTAACCGACGTCACGATGCATGTCAGTTGCCATCGCGACGTACAGCCTCCTACAGTAAACTACTCCGTAGCACCCCGTTTCTTGGTTTGCAGTTGCTTCATTCGGCTAACATCACTGGTGGAAACATTGCGTTTATGTTTTTCGACGGATATAATGTCTCAGTTCGACTCATAATTAAACAGCAACACGGCAACGTTCGCAATGTTTACATTCCCACAATGCATTTAAGTTGTAGAATGAATGAATTCACGTGTTTGTTAAGAATTAGAAAATAGTTAATCAGAATGTGACCTAATTGAGAGGTCATCGGTTATCCAATCAAATCGTTAGAATCTCAGGTCAAGTCGTTACGACACAGGTCAACGCGATACGTCACTCGTGTGACGTACGAGATTAGTATGCAACTACCCATACCTTGACCACGTGGGTAATAAAGATAAATATGACATTATCATCATGTGTACTGATTGTTCTCAAATAAAGAAATGTTCCCTGTAATGTCTGATATAAACATATGTTGTGTACTGCTTCAGAGGTACAAGAATAACTGGTACTTATCTATATTTAATGGTTACATGTACATGATGGTGACATTATTTCTGAACATTTCAGTCAAAACGACAGTATGAACGGGCTTTCAAAGACAGTGAAAAGGCTCTAGACAATTACAGGAAGGCTGATGCGGACATTAACTTATCCAGAGCTGAAGTTGAAAAGGTAATTATCACACTCTGGGTCTGTCCTCTGTCAGTGGATCTTGACTTCAATACAGGGCTGTGTTCAAGGATGGTGTGGTAGTGTAACTGTTTCCTTGTTTCAGTGTTGGCTGTGGGTTTGGTTCTGAAATGGTATATAGAAAGCAATTTTCCCCTATTCTTGGCTATGGCTAAAAGCGAAAGATTATTAATTTTAATATTTACTGACAATTTGCCTGTAGAGACTTGCAATTTTCCCCCCTTCTATGATATTCCTGAAATATGGCTAAAGCAATATATTAATACTTCTAATATATACTGAAATTGTGACCATAGATGCTTTAAGGCTCATGGACTGTGAAGTATTTTTCACAGACTGTAGAGAAATATCGACTGTTGTAAGTTGGTACGTAATTGTACTCCATGCTTTGTTGCTTTGCTTTTCAGCATCGAATTGTGATGAATGCGAAGGCTTCTCAATGTGAGGATTGCAAGAACGAGTACGCTGCCCAGCTCCAGCAGACCAATACTCACCAGAGAGAGTATTATTCCGGCAGCATGCCACAAGTATTTCAGGTAGGAACCCACCTTAACCATTTCATAACGCATGCAGTTTCTTCAAGAAAACACCTTTTGTGTCCCTCCTGACAGCACGTTTTCAAAGGTATCCTTGCGTTAAAATGTTCTTAGGCCTAAAAAAAATGTGGTTCCGATTACCTGACCGACCCTTGAATTCTGGTGCCGACCCTATTTTTTTAAGTGGTATGAATAATATAAGCTTTCAGATACCATTGTTTTTTCCTGGCACCAACAGACATCAGTCATTCTGACAGAGGAAGTCCACATGATTGCCGCAAGCTTGATTAAAAAAACAATTACACATTGATAAATGTGTTATTAGTTTGTACTCTACTTCTAAAAAAAATATGTAAAAAAAAATCCTACCTACCTACCCTAAATTTTAAAGAGGTGTAATCGGAACCACAACATTTTTTATCCCCCGCCGCACGTTTAGTGCGAAGCGGGGGATATAGTATTAGGCTCCATCCGTCCGTCCGTACGTACGAATTGGAATATCTTAAGAACCGTTGACTAGATTCTTTTCATATTTGGTACCTAGGTTCATCACAGTATAAGAAAGGCCCAAGTCAGGTTTGATGACCTTGACCTTCATTTCAAGGTCACAAGGGGACTTTAACGTTTACCTGCATGTTAAGCTATCTCAAGAACCCTTCACTGGATTTTTTTCATATTTGACACCAAGCTTCATCCAGGGAAGGCGCAGGGCCCAGTCGATTTTGGTAACCTTCACTTTATTTTCAAGGTCACAGAGACACTTTGAAGATTTCAGCATGTTAAATTGCATGTTAAGAAAGTCATCAAGATATCGCAAAAAATATTCACTGGATTTTCTTCATATTTGACACCAAGCTTCATCTAGGTAAGGCCCAGGGCTCAGTCAATTTTGGTGACCTGCACATAATTTTCAGGGTCACGATGACACTTTGAAGATTTCAGTATGTTAACCTGAATTGTCAGCAAGATATTTCAAGAACGGTTCACTGGATTTTCTTCATAGACTTTCAAGACTTCCCTTGAATGTTTTTCAATAACCAATTTCTTTAGTACTATTTTTGCAAATTCATACACAAAGACATTCATGTCAAGGTCAAAGTCAGTCTTGAAAGTATTTGTGTGTTTGAACAACTAAAGAGCAAGATATCAAGAGAGGTTAACTGGTCATGTTTTTGTTGACATTTAACTTCATCTTAAACTTTCATTACTTTATAAGTTTGATTTGATAATTTGCGGCGGGGGATTATGTCACCTTAGTGACAATGCTTGTTTTATTTGACCTTAGTACGTAAAGGTCCAGGTTAGAATTGATCATCAGTAACCCATGCTTGTCTGTTTTCTTATTTTCACAGAAAACTACAAGCTTATTTGTGTGTGTTTCAGAATTTACAAGATATGGACGAGAGAAGAGTCAACCGCCTACAGGCCGCTATAGGTCAGAGTGCGGAGGCTGACAGGAACGTCATCCCCATCATCAACACCTGCATCGACGGCATGCAGAAGGCTGCAGCAGCCATTGATGCAAAAGAAGTGAGAATTCACTTCATCCATGCATGTAGTGTTGAGAAGTTGCTCGTAGAGAGGGTTTTATTTATGCTGAACTAGGAAGTAGACACTAAACTTCATGATTTTTAATTAATTGTTACAATTTTGACCTCAAAATTTATGTATTCTGTTTATCTTCCTCCAAATTATAAAATTTGATTTATTTACATACAGAAATATCACAGAAATCAAAGTGTTAATACACTTATTATTTAAAGCTTTCCAGTGCTGACCAATGAAAACCATACTTTCAGTTGTCTTAGTGCTAAAATATCCATGACTCACTGATACAAGGTTTCTGATTGGTCATAATACTCATAATACTGCCGACACTTCACTTACTTCTCGGCATAATGACATTGTCAAAGGAAAACCCACCTCATGTTACCGTTAACATTACATTAGATTAAGCTACAGTCACAGACTGCCACAGCTGTGTGACTGGACTATTGCTCACTGGTGTCCAACAATATTCCACACAGTCCTCCCTCACTACTAAGGTTCCTGTTGAGAATGAAGATGAACAAATGGTGTCTCCAGCTGAGATGGCAACCTTGGGATGTACGAGACTCATCACTCACTGTTCTTTTACTTTTCCAGGATTCAAAGTTGGTTATCGAGAGGCACAAGTCAGGGTTTCAGGTCCCCAGTGACATTCCATTCGAAGATCTGAGCAACATGCAGGCCACAGAAAACTCGAACCACTCCACACCAAAATCAGCGCCTTCAGACATGAAAAATACGTACAAGACATCCACTGTCTCTGGCAAGAGTCGGAAACGAGGGGGAATATTTGGTTTATTTCAGTCGTCAAAGGTAGGTCATGTTGAGATTGTTGTTCTCTCTACTAACATATTGGTCATTTTGGATTAGAATATTAATAGGAATGTGCTCTGTTGCGTTTTAGGAAGAACATTATTACCAACAGAACTAAGGGAATGATACATTTAGATCAGTTGGTCATACAGATCAGTAAGTAAGTCTTATTCTCTATATGTGTGAATCACTAGAAAAAATGTTTTTAGGATTTGAAGAACAGCAAAACTTTGTAACGTGCATGTATTGTTCCCTTATCTCGTGTTGGTAGTACTGATACATTTCAAGATGGTTTTTTAACTATTAAAGGGTGAGGTATTATTGTTATATTGTGATTTAACTGGGGAGGGGGAATTAATTCTGTTTACCACAATGTTTGTTTTACTTTTGAATTTACTGTAGTAAGTGTTTACCAAAGTGTATTTGTAGATTTGTAGTGCTAATGTTCTTAAATATATATAGGCATATTTGTAGAATTGTACAATGAAATATATATAGGCATATTTGTAGAATTGTACAATTAAATATCTATAGGCATATTCGTAGAACTGTACAATTAATATATATATAGGCATATTTGTAGAATCGTACAACTAAATATATCTTGGCAGCCATATGTCACTAACCCAAGCTAGACTGTGTGTTGCATTGGCTGTTAGGCTAGACGATATACGTCCAGCTTGTGCTGTAGACACTGTGTGGTATGCACTTGATGTATTTGACGACTTCTTGCATATTTACTCTTGACCAACTCTATCATGTGTAAAGTGAGATATTTTTCATGCACAGTTTATTCTAGGTGTTCTCTTCCTTTTTATTTTTTTTTTTTAAATGTTTGTGGGGGTGTAAAGGAGTCATTCCTGCAGATACGACATTCTTGTCCTCAGTATTTTTCATTATTTCCAGTTTGAAATATTTAAATAAGGGGGTGTCCAGGTTTGTTTGTGAAAAATTATTTGTCTTTTAAAAGATTAACTCATGATTTCTTTGTTAACTGTTGCTGCAGAAATCTCAGGTCTGTTTAATGGCAGTTAGACTAGATGTTGGATGTCACTGAAGCTCCTGAGTTAGATCAGTTGTCAGACATATATCATCATCCTTCATGATCTGTTTTGTCCTTCAACAGCACGTTCATCACATCAATTTACGTGTATTCTCACACTTTCATGTGAACTCATGCAGCAGATCTTTCACCATTGTGCATTTCATGAATTCCATACATCTTTCCTGGCAACTGATTTAACTCAAGAGACGTATTAATGTTATGATGCTTCAAATTTTTTGTCAGGATATATTCTTTTCAATTTGAGTCCTTGGTGTCTGAATGTCTACCCAATTTGTTCGTAGGTTTCTCTTCGATGTTATTGTGTGAGTGTTAACAAACAACAGATTTCTCGGGAGAATTTCTTACCAAACTTTTTTTTCTAGCCAGTCATTATTATTTGTTTTTCCTCATGTTAAAGATCATTGGATTATTGGTATGTAAAGAATGCAGTCCTGTTTTCCATCCTGCATTTTAGTTTCCCTTCAGTTTCCCGTTTAGTGCCCAGTCCTATGTTTTCAGCATGGCATGAGTAGGTGTGTGACTTGTTGTCCTGCAAGCAGTGTCGGCCAGATGGGGAGGAAACCTTGCGTTCCATGTAACATTTACAACATCCAAATCATGTCATATTAATGTAGTTTCATAAATGTGCTTGTAAAAGCTATTACATTACCTTGATTAAACACCTGAGCAATAATTCTTTCAGACACTCATTACCTATTTAATCATAATGATATTAGCAGAGGGAATTCAGTGCATAAAAACTATCGTTTAATCTAGACTTATCAAGACTCAGTGTTTTATTGAGGAAATACAGTATATGGTAAACCACAGGTGATAACTTTATCAGATAAAGCTTTGAAATATAGTCATGCACCTGCAGAAGGTGATTTTTATATTAATATGTTGGCATAGTGACTCCATGGAACACTAAAGGGTCCTGCTCTTGTCCTGGCATTATTTTGGGTTATCTTTATCAAGGTGCATGGTCAGTTTGCTTTACAGATATATTTGTTTATTTCTGGTATTTGTGTATGTCATTTTTACATTGCTATTATTTTTCAGGATAAAGAATCGTTAATATAGCAACGTTTTACATTTATTTGGAAATATGGCTGAAACTGAGGTGTTTGTTTGGCACAGTTTTGTTTGACATGTCACCTATATCAGCACCTTGTCTGGCTCTACTTTGAATCAATTTGGATGATTTCATCAACACGAGACAATATCACCATTTCATTCTAATCGTATTTTCCCTTCACTGTAAGATGAATCCATCTGCTTTTATGGGTAGCTAGACCTGTCTCGTCAACTTGGTACAGTATGCCTTCAGACATGTTTCTATGAATTCAAACTTTGTTTTGATATGAAGACATTAGTGTTTAGTTAGTATAGCTTCATATAGAAACAGTTGAATACATATTGACATGGAAGGCTAGAGATGTTCATCCAAGCTAGATACTTTGTAACTGAAGGCTATCTGTGTATTTATTTTGTTTCTAGCTGTTATCGCAGTTACCCACAATCTCTACCACGGTAAATATGTCGCCCACCTCATATGTCTGTGTCACTGTCCGTCATCCGTCAGTCTCTCTCACTGGATCCTCTGCACTATGTCATAGACAAACAATGTATAATAACCGATCACAGTCACTTTACATAATAGCTGTTGTTTGCTCTCACAAACTAGGTATCATAAGTTCGAAGTTTCCAGAGTGTTACGTTTACAGTATTTGTTGGCTATGAAAAGTTTGAATTTAGAATTCAAATTGAAAAATAATTTCAATTTCAGAACTATCCTTTAGTCCAAATTCACAATGACATCATACAGGAAACTGAGATTTCAACATATGATGACTTTACATGCAGTAACTGTTATTCATGATAGGACAGCCTCCTCCTTCTTTTCAACCCAAATCCAATTTTGTTTAAAGTTCAAATTCTAAACAATAATCCCAGATACCCTGATACAAGTTTCCACCAATTCAACGCAATACATGATTATATACCCAGAGATGCCAACCCATACGATTTTATCGTATTCGTTACGAAAAAACATCACAAAATACGCGCCTACGATAGCAGTAAAAACATACAAATTTTAAAAAAAATACATTAAATTAAATGATCAAATGACATACATACCATACACAATAAATTTCAACCACAATTTATTCAGTATCAAGCTGTATGTGGATACTTAATACTGATTTAGGTGAGTACATTGTTAATAACAAGCTCTTAGAATATCTATATGTATTTTATTAAATATGAAAACCCTTTGGAAAAGGTAATACTAACTTTGGCCAAAAAATACTAATTTTTGCATCAGTTTTTGGCCAGAATACTAATTGAACTAAAGTAGGGTTGGCATCTCTGATATACCCCAGTATCATCTTGCAAATATGTGATACTAATATAGCTTAAAAATGTAATATATCACAGCCACATCACAGGTATATGCGATATGTCACAGGTTTATGCAATATGTCACATATAAACCCAGTGAATACGAACATTGATCCAAGTAAGCAGTGTCTATGATATCTTGTAGAATCCAGACCCAGGTGTCAGTATAGGCTTTGTAGATGATCATATCAGAATATGTTATTTCGGGTAAGACTGTGATAGACTTGAAAGTGCCCATCCCCTCCACTGAATCCTGAATACCGAATACCATCTTATTTTTCATCATGAGCCTCTTAAATACAGCTTAACACATATCTCAAAATTCACTCTCAGAAGGTGGAAAACAGATGAAAACCTTCATCGGCTACAGGTGTTTTACTGAAATTACTGAAAAAATATCCAGAAAAAATTGTAAAGGAAAGGAATATTTACAAGCACCTTTGTGTTTTAAAAAAATGTGTTCCATACAATACAATTTCTTTTGAGTGAGTGCCCCTTAAACAGTCCTCCACTTGTTGGTTGCCTCTTTCCGTACTCCATTGTTTTCCTGTGATATATATTTTAGAATTGTCCTTTCATGCCTGTGCAGAAATATTTTGATATGATGGTCTACTGGGCCTATGTCTTACTCAGTTTCTAGAGTTAGCCGATTCAACACACTGTGACAGTCTAGGATTAGTATAGTCAGTTTTCTACACCATGTCATGACTACAATTAGTTGTGTGGCAAATCTGCTCCACAGTTTCTTCTGTTGACTGTTTCACAAAGCAAATGTCGGAAATAGCCAAGTTGGCTTTTTCCTGTCAAATGATTACCAGAATTCACTTTTTAGGGCTCTGTAAAGTAACAATTGTGTGTGCATCCTTTTTGTGTGAAAGGAACAAATTCTATTTTCGTCAAATGTTTATAGCATGAAGACATTTGCTATGAAAAATGTCAGCAGAACAATTAATATGATTCAAATCTGAGGTAGCCATAGACTATTGGATCTGTGGTATATAATGTGATATTTACCTACCTGTCTGGTGTATATACAAGGGGAAATAATTTATCACACTGTGCTCTCTGAACATAGACTGATGAATCATCCAGAAATATTTGAAACATTCTTATGCCAGGAATGCATCTTCTACAACTCTATTTTATCAATGAAGATTGGTGACAAGTTCTAGTGACATAGTTTTCAAGATCCGATGTTTATGAAGCATGTAGGGCTATCAAATACACAAACACCAATGTTTGACTTAAGCTTCTTTGCAGAACAGCCCCAAGGAAATACATATATGTTTCTTTTGTTTAAACTGCAAGGAATAGAGTCAGAATTGATTAGGACATGTCAGTTATGTAGTCTTGTGGTGCTGTTGTTTATTTGAAATCTGGATTTTCACATTTGACAAAATCTTATAAATATTTGGAAGAAAAAGCTTCAGTATCTGATTGTCACTTTGGTTGGTCTATTTATGAAGAGCATATTTCTCCCTTGTACAACACCAGATGGAGATTTAACATGTATGGTCTGTGAAACTTTCTTAATCTTTGTCAAAGAGCACTTTAACAAACAGCACAGCATAATGAATAATCATTAGGAAAGTTTCACAGGTGGCATTTATAGTTGACAAGTTCCACAACTTGTGGGTCCCAGATGTACTTCCTTCAGTATGTAACCATGGTAACTGTCTTATAGAACATGTAGCAACTCTGTGGTGTCATCAGGAAAGTTGCATGACTGTCGACTATTGTATATAACAGGAAATTGTTCCATCAAAGCAGTGTTGGTACCGAAATATCAAGATTTATCTATGGAGAAAAATCATCCCAGTTGTCATATTTGCTAAATTTTCATCGTGAGATCATAGCCTGAACCTATATATTCTATGTCCTTTCCCACAAGCAATGTCAGCGTTATCACCATGTGTTTTATTATTATCTCCCCTTATTTCTCTGAACGAATGTTCGCTGAAACATGACAGCAGCAGCACTATTTTAGAAACAAGGAAGGAAAAGAAACAAGTTATTGTGTTGAGTTTGACCCATCTCCAACACTGTTTTGTGAATTATTAACCCAACTATTTCTGTTGTACATAACAACCATGATGACCTTGACCTGGATGTTGGTGCCGGGAACTCAAATTACGATCAGTGTTGTTCTAACATGACAGTCACTAATACAAAATGGCTGGACCCTGTGGGTGCATCTAAAACTATTTCCTGTCGCTGTGACTAATTCAGGGTCACCCACATGGAGATCTGTGTTAGAATTGTTTTCAGCAACCCATGATTGTCCTAAATGGCTGGTCAGGTTTGCTGGCTTGGTTGATGCACATAATTTTATCCCCACTGTGTAGGATTGTTCAACATGTCCATCATTGGATTTTCTGGTCAAGACTCACTTAGACTTACAGACCACTGTCAGAGAGGTGGAGTATTGATGAGAGCAGCTTTAAACAGCAAACAAACGAATGACCTGCCTCTGGACTGAAGTGGTCGGTCCTCCATTGTCTGGTGTCTTTGATACTCCATGACAAGCCTGGAGGGAGTTATAACAGAATCGTTTCAAAGTATCCTAGACCCATGAAGGTCCAGGTTAGAATATTGATCTTCAGTAACCCATGCTTGTCGTAAAAGGCGAACTTAACGGGATTGGGTGGTCAGGCTCGCTGACTTGGTTGACACATGTCATCGATTCCCAATTGCGCAGATCGATGCTCATGCTGTTGATCACTGGATTGTCTGGTCCAGACTCTGTTATTTACAGACCGCCGCCATATAGCTGGAATATTGCTGAGTGCTTCTAAATGTAGGATTGGGTGATCAGGCTGTGACATCTCTGATACTGTGGGGGCGGTGGGGTAGCTTAATGGTTAAAGCGTTGGCTCGTCACGCCGAAGACCCGGGTTCAAATCCCCACATGGGTACAATGTGTGAAGCCCATTTCTGGTGTCCCCAGCCGTGATGCTGCTGGAATATTGCTAAAAGCGGCGTAAAACCAAACTCAGTCAGTCTGATACTGTGTCTCTAGCTGATTTGGATAATTGCTCCTATCACTGGTGTACCTGTTTGAGGTTCAGTTATTCCTTAGGGGCGGTGGGGTAGCATAGTGATTAAAGCATTGGCTCGTCACGCCATAGACCCGGGTTCGAATCCCCACATGGGTACAATGTGTGAAGCCAATTCCTGGTGTCCCCCGCCGTGATGTTGCTGGAATATTGCTAAAAGCGGTGTAAAACCAAACTCAGTCAGTCATTTATTCCTTATAGCTGAAATATTGTGGCTTGAAACACCATTTACTCATTAACTCTGAAACCTGCATGTGTTCCATTAAACTATAAAATCTGAGTTGAGGGTTTAACAACATGTTAAAAAATACTGCACTCATATGTACATGCTTGTGTGGCTATATTAGAGCTTATAGAGCTGGCTCAAAGAGATACAATGGTACAGTCTAACATGGATACTCCACACAGACACAGTACTGACTCAGAGATGGCCAGTCCTTGTTTAGTATCCTTAATGCTGAAAGCCAGGCAGGGTAACATCAAGTGCCATCTTTTTGTGTGACACAGCCAAGGGATGGAACCACTGACTCTAAACTCTTCAGGGACCTGTGGGGTATCCTAGTGGTTAAAACGTTTTCTATTCACGCCGAAGACCCGAGTTCCATTCCCCACATGGGTACAATGTATGTAGCCTATTTCTGGTGCCCCCGGCCATGATATTGCTGGAATATTGCTAAAAGCAGCGTATAACAAAACTCGCTCTAAACTCTTCAGGCAGAGGCTGTGTCTACTAGACCGTACAGGCGATCAGAAAGTCAAAGTACAAAGATTGACATCAAGTTAAAATTAATTTGATTTAGCGTGCTACCAGACATTACTTTCCATTTTTCCCAAAGATCAATTAATGGAATAAACTGTTTTCTGTAATGTGGAGAATTCAGCTTACTTCCCCCAAAAAACTTATATTGCAAAAAACACAAAACAGCAAACCTAGTTTAGTTCATGTGAATTCAGGCTAAGTGAAAACAGTGCGTGACAACTATTTGGTACGACTTTGTTTACAAGGTGCAAGTGGATATTGAGTATTGTTATTGAGCCAGAAGCTGTAAATAGAGCCACGTGGTCATCTGAGCATATGGCTGCACAATATCAGTACTTGACTTCCCAAGTAGGCAGGTCAGGTTGACTTCCGCAACCCTGTCCTCACACTGATATCAGGAGACTACTCAACATTCTCCAACCTGTAACCAGTGTTTTCTGCATGTTTTGCAACAACCAAAACAATACATTGTCCTTAAGCTTGCATTGTTTTATTTTTGCCAGAAATAATTTTTGTTGATTTTATTCGCTACATTTGCTTAATATACTTACCTTTTATGGACAGGTGTCTAGGTTTGATATTTGATGGCCTTTAGTGCCTTTCATTGGACATCAATGCCTGGGATATATATTAACATATTCACCGTGATATATATTAACATATTTTTTGAGCTCAGTAAATGCTCTTTCCCATCTACTGAATACACCATCTTTTTCATCTGTTGACATTTCCAAATTCACACTTTAAATTGGTTTATGACTGTCCCATGATTACAAGTGAAGTAACAGAATACCAAAATAGTTTTAGGTGGTTAATATAAACAAAAGTGGTAAAAATTGCATGCTGTGGTATGCTTTGGTATTGCATGTATGCATGCAGGAGAGGTTCATCAGTGGTAGATGCTAGAATGAGGTCAATGACCTCATACAATTCATACAATGTTACTTTCGGGATGATGACGACGATGATGATTATTATTTTGATTTTGTTAGGTCATGCCAGTGAGATACCGCCAGTTGATCATCATTGTATATGAATTTGTATGGGTACCATGAACTGGTATGACTATGATTAACATTGAGCAATATTGAGTAACATGACATGAACCTAATACCTTGAGAAAGCAGAATTAGCAGCTTTTCTTGCTTTGCTTTATGATCGTGTAGAATATTGTTATGTGAATGACATGCTTTGTGGTAAAAACAGCAAACTTTGTCAAAAGCGATTTGTTAAACATATGTGTGACATTGTTCCCTTGATGGGAGTTAACATGAATATTGCTCGGTTTAGTGTGGGATAAAACTTGTGTGATTATCTACAGGTGGATGACCCAAAGGAAGACTTCAGTGACCTGCCACCCAATCAGCGTCGGAAGAAGCTGCAGCAGAAGATTGATGCAATCAAGAAGGAAATGGCCAAAGAACAGGCAGAGAGGTACTGTAGGGGTGTGAGAGAGTGGTAGTCGTTAGGGGCAGACCAGGAAGAGAGGTACTGTAGGGGTGTGGGAGAGTGGTAGTCTTTATGGGCAGACCAGGCAGAGAGGTACTGTAGGGGTGTGGGAGAGTCGTAATCTTTAGGGACAGACCAAGCAGAGAGGTACTGTAATGATATAGCTTGCTGTTGACAGAGAAATTAATAGTTCAAACTACTTGAGAATATATGTGATTTGCTGTTGACAAGGGTAGCTGCAGTTAAACTTGAGATTATGTAAGACTGTTGTCAAAGATAGCTACAGAGATAATGTATAACCCTTACTGTTACAGGGAAGGCATGTTGAAGATGAAAGATGTTTATGCAAACAACCCCGCTCTAGGAGATCCAAGTACCTTAGATAAGAAAATAGAAGAAAATGCTCAAAAGATAGACGATCTACGGCAAGATCTGCATAAGTTTGAGGTGAGTGCAAACGCCATTAAAATCAATCAGTAGATCCTGAAATATGTATAGAAGACTTGAGAGTGAGTGAGTGAGTTGGGTTTTATGCCACTTTTAGCAACACCCCAGCAATATCACCTTGGGGACACCATAAATGGGCATTACACATTGTGCCCATGTGGGGAATCGAACTTGGGACTTCAGCATGACGAGCAGACACTTTAACCACTAGGCTAACCCACCGCCCAGAAGACTTGAGAGTGTAAAAGGGTGCTCCTTACATGTTACTTGCATTCTGACTACTATAGGGGCTTGTTATTGTCAGCATACCGTGATCTGAAATACATATGAATACATATTACAAACTGTTTTGAAACCATGCATATTTTCATCTTTTGGGCAATTTTACTTAAGTCTCAAGTCACTTTGAAGTTGAAATTGCAAAATTGGCATCTGTGATTGAAACAGTAAAATAGTTCATCACAAGACTCTGGCATAAAATGTGTCTATTGCATTGTGCTACTAAAGACCAGATTCAATATGAAAAACAGACCAATCCCCATGACTACTGTGCATGTAAATCTCTGTATAGATTTAATTGTGTTGATATACGAGTCCCAAGCAGCACTCAAAGTAATCCGCCAGTCATTGAGTTTGAATGTATGTGTTCTGGAATCACTTAGTGGAGGCAGATGGTAAACAAGGGCACACTACATTATGAAGGAAAACTGATTTGTATGGATAGTCAACTTCTTTATTGCAATGAGTGCAACGTCAACTTGTTTGATAACGTAGGTACTAACACGTTATCAAGCAAATTGTGACTTGCTTGATAACGGTGTTAGTACCTACACCGAAACGTCGCACTCATTGCAATAAAGAAGTTGACTATCCATACAAATCAGTTTTCCTTCACCTTCACAACTTCTAAAATGCCTCTCAAAGAAAAAAACACTACATTATGTCTAACAAGTTATGGTTGTGTTTTGTGTTCCAGAATTATCTAGGTGAGGCGGATGGTAAACAAAGGCACACTACATTATGTCTAACAAGTTATGGTTGTGTTTTGTGTTCCAGAATTATCTAGGTGAGGCGGATGGTAAACAAAGGCACACTACATTATGTCTAACAAGTTATGGTTGTGTTTTGTGTTCCAGAATTATCTAGGTGAGGCGGATGGTAAACATCGGCGCCACAGTACATCTAACGAGTCGCTCTCCCCAAGTGTGTCAGATGGCAGTACCCCTGCCAGTCAACAGCAGGTCTCCGAGCCAGGAACACCAAACCTGCAGCATAATGTGTATGCGTAAGTATATGCTGTCAATGTCAGTCACTGGGGATATGGAATCTTGTCATCTAAGGCACCCAAATTTGAGGTTGAATCCGTTGCCCTGATTTTTATGTATCTGGGTCTAGCGGAACCATACAAATAGATTATTCCTCTGATGTAAGTGTTTCCGTGTGTTCTTTACTGCCAGTCATGTATGTTAATATGAAAATACCTCATGTACACTGCTGCTATATCATACTGACCTACTCTGTTTCAGGCCTATTGATGGAGATGAAGAAGGGGAGGATGAATTTGAAACTTTTCCAATCATTGGAACCTGTCGGGCATTATATCCATTTGATGGTGAGTTCTACAGCTAACATGACATTCATACCATAATGATGCCAAGTATATATTTAGGCCATAAAGAATGACTGAGTGAGTGAGTTTAGTTTTACGCCACATCCAGCAATATTCCAGCTATATGGCAGCGGTCTGTAAATAATTGAGTCTGGATCAGTCAATCCAGTGATCAACAGCATGAGCATCGATCTACGCAACTGGGATACGTTGACCGGTGTCAACCAAGTCAGCGAGCCTGACTACCTGATCCTGTTAGTCGCCTCTTTCGACAAGCATGGGTTACTGAAGATTAGGGATCCCACGATACATCAATGCATCGATGCATCGATACTTTTTCTAAGACGATACAATTATCAATACATTCAAAACTGTATCGATATTTAGTTTTGAAAGTATCGGTTTAAATATGTTTATGTATTTTGATGTTATGAGAGTTATAAATGATTAGTTTTCATTCACAAAGATGGGAAATTAGAACTCTTTAATCTCTGAGAATAAAAAATGTTCATCTTTTCATCGACAGTTATAAGATATGAAATATTAATGTCCAAAATGTAACTAAATTTACGCAATAATGCCACGAAAATAGGTATCGTGATACGTATCCAATCGTGACATGGGTATCGTGTTACGTATCGGTTCATGAAACTTATGTATCGTGACATCCCTACTGAAGATCAATTCAAACCCGGATCTTCACGGGTATTTGAGTAAGGGGTAACACTAGGATTGGTTGACTTCAGGATATTGGCTGTGAAGGTTATCCATGTTACTTCATGCTGCTGTGTTGTATCTCAGTGGACCTGCACCATTTACCGGCGTTAGTCAGCACTAGTACAGGGATGAGTGTACATGCACACATACGCACTCACACTTTTTAAGTGCAATAATCGTGAATGTGACATTAAACGCCTTTTTATCTCACCTCCACCAAATAACTTTACCTTGTTCGTGTGGTTTTCAGGAAGCAGCGAAGGGTCGATCTCCATGTTGGAGAATGAAGAGTTTAACATCATAGAGGCTGACCAGGGCGATGGATGGACGCGGGTGAAGCGGGACGATACCTCCGAGGGCTTCGTGCCGACGTCCTACATCGAGGTCCACCTGTATGATCAGGATCAAGTCTAGCACACCATGTAGCATTACCCTAGTTCACAGACCTGAAAGATGTCACTGTCGGTTGTTAAAATGAGGAGATCTCCAGGATGCAAGCTGCTGATTGAGTGTCGTGTTTCATAACCATGAGAACATTAAGGTGCCCGGAGCGGGCAGATCCCACTAGAGTTTGGAACAGATCGTCTACATAGTTCCTTCATCAAGCCATGCTATAGAAGAAGTGGCACCCGCACCGTCCTGTTTTAACAGACTGAGAGCCGACTAGGAATGTGTGAAAGTTGTATCATCGGGTGACGAGGTAACGAAGGTCATCTTTCAAGTGGTCAGCAGCCTACAGCTCCATGCTTGCAGTCAATGAGATGCCTGTGCTGCCCCATCAGGAGATGAGGAGGCGGAGCTTGCCTTTGTCATCAGCTACATTTAATTCACTTGTGATTGCATCAAAAAACAACTACATAAAATACATGTTATGACCTTGTGCAGTAGAAGATTGCATCAGTTGCCAAGCTACCAAGATTCACCTTGTGACCTTGAAGGTACAGGATCCGACTGATGGTACCTTCATCTGGGCAGTATCTGCCTGTAGCCGTAGCAGCTTCCTTCCAGCCTCTCCCACTACAGTTCACGGTCCACGATGTTGAATCAGGTCGTTGGCTGACCTGCGTCAGTACTGATTCCATAAGGAGGTCAGTCAGCTCGCAAGTTTTAGTCGATGGTGTCATTATTCCCTCATACCGGAGTGTGACCCGCCTGATCCTGGTTTATGTTAACCTTGCTGCACATTCACTAACCCAGCTTCGTCAGCATGCTATAAAACACCAGCCTGAAATGCAGACCGAGACACCTTGTTGGTAGAGGATTTCGTCATCACTGACTGGACACAGGATTTCTCCTGCTTTAAGTTCTGTCAGCAACACCGTGGACCCTGGAACAAGACTGAAGAATGATGCAATATGATATAAATGTGTTCTGTAGTTTTCTAGAAGGAATGTATGTATACAAGAGTTACACAGTTGTCGAGGAAATGTTTTGATAATGGACAAAAGAGGATTGAATGAAGACAATTACCTCTTGATGTAGATTTGAATGATGGAATAAGGTTTAGTCTTGCAGATGTCTGAAAGGCTGCTCTTTGATAACAGATATTAGAAGACCGCTGACAATGCATTTACATTGTGCTATTTACACTCTGTTGGTGGTCAGATTGGATATTAATGCTGCTACGTCAAAGGGCTGTCTTTCTCCTGTATATCAGACTGTAGTTTTGGGAGAGATATTGTAACGCTGATGATTATATCGTGCAATCAAATTCTCTGGCTGGAGATAGACAGATCAACTTTTTTAAACGATCAAGGTACACTTTATACCTTTTTAAATCTGTTTGATATGTGTAGTCATTTCATGTTGTATATATTTGATACTAATGTACTTATGCTGGCTTGCTGTACGTTGTTGTTGCTGCTGCTGCTGCCTGCACAGATCATCAGCATTCAGTCGGGATACAGCACCGGGCACCTGTTGACTCCTGGAGAGGCCCGTGAAAGTAGGGGAAGTAACTCTGTAGTAATGATGCTCTTTCAACCAAAGGGAAAGAAATTCTATAGTATCAGGCATTTGAATTCAACATAAGGGGAAGTAACTCTGCCGTGATGAATTAAATAATGCACATTCTTTCATGTAGCTGAATTGGTTGAGTTTGGCCAACATTCTCAGTATGTACAATTATTGGTAATGTTGTGAAATTCTTCAACGCTATTTTTGACAAGTGATCATATTGTTTTCTTAGTATTTACACAGCACAATTGCGATGAAAGGTCTTTATCATGTTGACTAAAGTCAAATTTGAGTCTTTTTAAACATTTGTCTGATGCGGAAATTTATATGGACACTTGACATCATTTGAACTACTATGCTGTCCCCTACCAAGGAATGTCCCAGTTGGTATCCCGACAACATAGACTTGCTTTTAGCCCATTGTTCCTCCCTTGTGATCTTGTTTTATCTCTGCGTCATGTACAGCATGCACATTAACTTCTTAGTTGACGAGGATGCAGTTCTGTATGATATGATGCTGTAATTGTGATTCTATATTATTTAAATCATTACTGTTTGTGCTTGTTAATGATTCCTCCCTCCTAGTGCAGGCATCTGTTAACATACAGCTTGTGAGTTCATCCCTCATAGTGCAGGCATCTGTTAACATACAGCTTGTGAGTTCATCCCAGTAGCAACAGGGTTGGTGACATTGGGTGGCGTGACAGGTAGCCTCGTGGTTCATGCTCTTGCTCTGTAACACAGAAGGTCTGGGTTTGACTCCCTATGTGGATTCAGTCTAGAGCTGTTCTGGTGTACTAGTAAGGTGACTTAATTGTTTATACACTTGCCACTTCAAACAGAATGTCAGAGTTTGACAGCCCTCATGGATCACTCACCCTCTCAAGGCCTATCCAAGGCCCACAGGCCCACTTGCACAAAGTGATCTTAAAAGCCACGACTATCATGAGCCTTTTTAATGGGAGTTACAATCATCTTTGCACTAAGGTTCTTCCGTGCAAGTGGATCGTGTGTACTGGTAGGGTGGTGCTGTTGCATAGAAGCTACAGGGTTTAAACAACCGATACATTTGACAAGTTGCGTTCATGGGTTTCACTAATTTGGTAACCTGTTGGCCTCACTTAAGGCTTCTTCAGACATTCACCTGACATGTTGGACTCACTGTAAATTGACTATAAGTCAAAGATTTCAGTACATCTTTATCATCTTTGGTGTTCCTTGTTGACACTTGCTCCAGTAATACTTTCATTGTAGTTTGAGGGGTTGCCTCGACTGACAGCAGACAATGTCTGTGCTTTGTTTTTACCTGTGTGTTTGTAGAACCTGAAAGGAATTTGGAATTAAATTTCAAGAAAGTGAATCATTATGTCCAGGTCAATCATAATCACTCTCATTGTTGGTAAAACTGATAAGACAGCCATTTTGACATCCCTTCGTTTCATAAATCAGTGTGGTTTAAGTTGATATCATTTCAGATTATTTGTTCGAGGCGTCAAGTTTGTCGCATGAAATACTCAAGTTAAGAGGTATGAGACGTCTGTAGGTTAAAACAGCTGATGGGAGACGTCTGCCACCCCTGTTGAACATTACAGTAATTGCGATACACCAAAGGCACATTTTAAAAAACCCAACCCTATAAAGCCTGGATCGATATGTGCTGAATAGATTAAGAAATGTTTGGTAATAATCAGAGATCAGTCATGTTGAATAGTTTGTGGTGCTATGTCAACCCAAGGCTATATACCTTGTGACTGGAATGTTTAAATATACCAAACATCCTCCTCATACTCCCCAACCAGCCACAATCTCTCCCACCCATCCTCACTTTACCTGTCCATCCACACCTACTTTCACATCCACCAACTACCTCCCACCTACTCAAAATACCCAACCACCCACAATCTGTCCCACGTATCCTCTAACCTACCTGTCATCTACCTGTTGACCTACTGACACCCATCCACACATCCACCAACTACCTCCCCCCTACTCAAAATACCCAACCACCCACAATCTGTCCCACGTATCCTCTAACCTACCTGTCATCTACCTGTTGACCTACTGACACCCATCCACACATCCACTAACCTACCTCCCCCCTACTCAAAATACCCAACCACCCACAATCTGTCCCAATTATCCTCTAACCTACCTGTTATCTACCTGTTGACCTACTGACACCCATCCACCAACTACCTCCCACCTACTCATGTTGCCCAACCACCACTCATTTGCCACCCTATCCCACCCCCAACACACACACACACACACACACACACAAAAACACACACACACACACACACACCATCCACCTGACTACCACCCACCCATCAAAATGGACTTAACACAATGTCAATCTGACAACCTACCCACCTTCACCTCAAATTTCAACCACCAACCCATTAGCTCATTCTTTAAGACACACACACATATTCAACAGACACCACACGCAACACTATGCAGGGCGGAAAACCAAGGTTCAGCTCCTAAATTGAGTACAATGTTTGAAGCTCCCAACTGTCATATGGCTTGAATATTACTAGACTAAACCCTTCTCACTCACTCACCCAGCTATGCATACTTCACTGAACTCTCTTCTTTCCTCCTCCTCCCCCTCCCCCTACAACACACAAACTGATAGCCTGATTGTCACACCTCTAACACATGCAAGGTGGCGTACTGCTTGAGGGATATCTAATATGTATCACAAAGCGTATTGTAAAGTTGCCTGCACTTGTGGACCGAAGACTTCTTGTCTGTTACTCTCTGCAGAAGCTGTTATCACTGTATATTATTTGTTTATACGAGGAGAAAGATTCCCACATTGTTACGGCGATATAACCTAGATCAATATCACCTTACTGATTGTACACAAATCGTCAGGTCAGCGACCTCTGACATTTCCCCAAAGTTAGCTTCATTCTCCTTCCTGCAAACTGCTTGTCCATTGGTGTGGCTTTTGTCTGTACTATGCAACCATAGGCGTACGCAAAATGCATGATTTCTGTGAACGAGGCATTGTAATTGAACCCTAACACTATTATACCGAAGAGAAGAACAAACAAGCAGTTTTGTATCCTGATCACTATTCATGTAAGAAATGCTCCTGCTTACCAAAAATGAAAATTGTGATTGAATTTTTTATGCACTACAATGTCAAGGTCACCTTCACTAAATTGCAGCTCATGTCTGCTAATATGCAGATTACCTAAACCAATGTTGGTTAGATGAGCTAAAATGTAAGTCACCTACGCTAAATTGAAAGATAATTCATCGAGGACAAAATGTTCTTGTTGATATAGCTTATGTTTACGCCTTGTTTAACCTGTTCACATGGCAATAAGCTTACGTCCAGAAGAAGCTTATTCCTGAACACATCCACATGCACAAGTCGGTTCTCTAGCAGTGTACATAGTCATTTGTTTGAGCTTCTGCCATTTGTTTGAAACTCAGTAGAGTTTCTTCCTACTGCTTTGATCTGTGATGGAGGTGCAACATTTGTTTGTGTAATGATAATTATTGTTTTATTTGTTTACTCCGTCTCAACCAGTCCACCAAGTGATCACAGCCTTCTGACTACCATTATCCTAAGTTACTGATGGAGGTGTCTTGTCATTCATCATGAACTCATTGTTTGATTTTCGCCCTTGTGCTGCACAGTGTCACTTTGACCCAGACAGCAGTTCATTTCTGACATGGTCTGCTCATTTCGAATTTAGGATAGATTTCTTACGATTTACAGAAATATTTTCACCACTTTATGATTAATTTCAATGTTAATACTTTGTAATGGTTTCGTGTCCTTGATACTTGTGGGTATGCTCAATCAGTTATCCATTAGGGTTTCAAACTGTATCCTTAACCTATATAACATTTCTAAATGAATGCAAAGCGTTCAGTTCTAGGATATTGTCCAGTCATCGATATACAGTAAATATAGTCATAGGGTTGAGTCATCACTTTGTGGACCGGGTCCTTGTGTCACTTCCAGCACGTTGCCTTGACTAATGTGACGGAGAAACGTAACTCTGTTTTTCTGGATAAATCAAACAGCTGTATGTGTCCATATTCAATCTGTAATACAGGATGTGTAACCTCTTTGAGTGGCATTTTAGAAGCTGGGAAGTACAAACTAGACAAACTTTATGGATAACAATTTTTTTATTACGAGAGTGCGATGTTACGATACAGATTCTTGTAGTTGGATCTTTTCTGTTTCCTATGCTATGGGATTACCCTGTTAAGGCCACTCTATTTTTCTTCGGATGTTTTTTACCCCAAATCTTTAAAATCTGAAACAAATTGTTTGATTTTGTTGGTATCACTTATTGGTCATGTCGACCACTATATCACTGCACTCAGTCCCCATGAGTGTCTACAAAGTTAAATGTCGACAGCCACTGTGAAGGTCAACAATCGTGGTGAATGGCGACATCGGTGCCATAGGTCCCTTCATTTACTGATTTGCACAAGCACAGTGGCACATAGGGTAAAGTACATTCAAATTATGTAAACGTTTTTCTTTCAATCAGCCTGTTTTACAGATCTCATCCTGATAATGTGTTCCTGATGACTATGATTAGGTCCATGGCACATGACTCGTCCTGTCTCCACATAATCTCTGTTACAGGGATAATCCACTGGCTATTGGTAGCCTTCTGTCATGACATTTTCATCCTCATTTACTTTGATCATCTGGTGTTGGACTAACTGAAGAGCTGACTGGTATTAAGTTATGTGTATTAAAAGTGGAATTGTTCATACACCTGGGTGCCATTGTACGAATCAACCTTATCACTATGACTTGTAAGGCCATGGTATATTTTGGGATTACGACCACCTTAGTGCTGACATCGCTTTGTACAATCGCACCCTGGTGCACTGTAAACATCATCCACACAGACCATAGTTAAAAGTTCAGTAATGAACATTGTTCAGGATTATTACTTTACTATTAGGTAAGAAATACATTATTCTGTGTACATCCTGGTTCTGAAGAAGATGGTTGTTTTATAGAAGTGAAAGAAGGGTGACCTTCATGCAGACCTTGAAATGAACAGGTGCTACGACCATGTAAGTCTTCTTGGTGTTTGTAGGTCTGATCGAAAGCCCAGGGTATACTTCACAGTTAATTTTGAATAAAGTCCTGTTTTTCTTGTACCTACCTCCAGCTAGCTCAGCCCAGCATGGAATGTTTGGTTAGAAGCACAAGTAC